ATTAAGTGTTCATCAACAGTCAGGGTGAGGGCTGATCAAGTCACCATTTCTCATAGTGTTCATTTCACTTTAACAGGTTTCCTTTTTGGTGCTCAGTTAGTTGTCACCTATCAAGGAGAACAAGTGGCATTTGTCCCTTTGGGATTGGCTTTTTACACTCAGCATAATGTTAATTGACATCAGACTGAAATGTCTTAACACCAGCCTATTTTTTTAAAAATTATATCCAGGTAGTTGCTTTAGAACCTTTAGCTCACAGAAGGAACAACACAATGTTGTCTTCTTCTTTTTTAATAATTCTTTTATTTAGATGAAGGGAACAAATTTCATATATTTCATACATAGTTTTAAGAAAAGAATGACACTTTCCACCCCACTCTCTTTCCGTCCTCACTCTGATCATCCCTCCTCCTTCATTTCTTATTTTTCTTTTAATTTTTACAATGACACACTTGTAATTCAAATGTCAAAGTATGCCGTACTGACCTGTCTACTATCTCTCCTTGCCATTCACCTTTTTACAACCCTACACAATTGTGTGTTTGAATCATTGTAGCTCTTTTATGTGCTTTGGTAACAGTAATAAAAACAATTTACATTTCAAAAATAACTAGCAACTCTCATTGGTTGTTCTTTTTTATAAATTTTATTTAAGGTATACAAATTTCATGTATTTCCTATATACAGATACAGGAATATATGGATACTTCCCACCTTACCTTCCCTCCCACCCTTATTCTTCCTCCATCTAATTGGTTATTCTTAATGATATAAAGAAACTCTCTCCATACCTCTTTTGTTGCTTCCAAGAAAAAAGTGAATTTGCTTAAAACTATATGAATCTATAGCTTATAAAGCTATGTACTTGGACTTTCTTCTGGGCAGAGCTCACCTGTATCTTTTCCTTTGTATCTCCCACACTTACCTTGAGACAGTCAACAGTAGTTCTTGCCGTGTGTTTGATAACACTTCCTATATAAATGTTCAGTGAATGAATAACCATCATCATATTTTTCCACTGCTTCTGGAGGTAAAGTAATACTGGTAAATTTCATGGCTGCACCTGATGTTTGTAACCAGATATGAATTTATTTCTTTTACCACTTTAATGTCTTCCCAAAAACCTTATCCTCCAATATTGAACTTCGCCTGGCTTTTGATCTGTGGCTTTCCCCCATAGAATACTCCACTCCAAGAGTAGGAAGATTCTGAACTGATTCTAGAATCCTTTATTGGCTTATGCAATAAGCCTCCACATCTACACGTTGGAAATCAGTCAAACATTTTTTTTAGTAAGTCTCAGCTCATACTGACTTACAGGAGCAGTGCTTCTCTTAAAATAAAATAAAAGCTGAAATAATAAGTTCAATACAAAGATAGCACAGTGCTTAATGAAGTAATTAAGAACTAGAAAATATCTTTGGTTTATTCAATTAAAAAGCATCTATTGAGAACTTACTGTGTGTGTGAGATATTGGGCTAGACGTTTTATTTAGGACGTATAATTTAAACATCACAATCAGTTGAGATAGAATTTTGATTTCCAGGTTCCAGGTGGGTATAGCTGAGGCCTGAAGAAGATAAATTGATTGGCAAGGAATAGATCAAAGTGCCATTGGAACCCAGGTGATTCTGACTCCTGGATCAAGATAAGTGCAATGTTTTAATAACCACCCAAATTCACATATTCTAATCAAAATTTGGAAATACCTTTAAACATTATTTTAAAGTAAAGCTACAGTTACTAAAGCTACCTTTCCATGTTCTTCATTCAGCCTGTTACTTCCTGGCTGCTGCCAAAGAAGGTAATGGGCGAGCAAAACAAGTTTTCAAGCTTCAGGGAAAGTCATCTTTCAATCTTCTACTGATGATGAAGGATATTTTTAACAAGGAAAGTGGGCCAAAGGTGACAAAAATGAGAATGTAAGCAAAGAGAAAGCAGATGTATTTCTAAGTCAAGTATCTTTATACTGAGTACTCTGGGTTTACAGCATTGACAAAAATGTTGCCAGTTATAAACCAAACTGTCTGGGAAGCAGGGCAGTGTCTGAGCTGGTGGGAGCGTAGCATTAGGTTACAGCGGCTTCTCTTTGCAACATGTCTTCATCCACCCTAGTGCATCTGCTGCAGTCTCCCTACCTGCCCACTTAATACTTAAATGCCTAAAGTGCATTTTAAAGTTTTGTATCAAATTTGTCCTCTTGAAAAGCTATTAAGCTAGTTACCCTGCAGCCCAGAGGGCTCTTCTTCAGACAGGATTGTACCACACCATCCCCATTAGAACAGCCCTGCATGGCTGCCTGAATAATTCCTGTGAAAGGTCACCAGTACTTCAACTACGAAGGCCTTTATTTCTTTGACAAAAGAAGGGAAAAATTGTAAATTAGCTATTTTCGCTTTTTTTCCAGAACAAAAACCTACATAAAAGCCCCAGGTGGATTTTTTTTTTACTTCTCTTCAGTATATTCATAATAACTGCAAATAATTTCAAAACCTTGGAATGAGTTACCTCATTATGTTATGATCTAAGCCAAAATCCATTTTAATTTCTATTCTTGTTTCTAGATATTGATTCCATTCTTCAGATACTCCACCTGTAACTGTGGAAATTTCTAATATTTTTTGATTGCCTAAAGCAGTGTCTGGGCACTATTTTAGGCCAGTTTTGTAATGATGAGCCAATCCACCCTGAAGTGGAGCAGTACACATGCTCCCTACAAGGTGCCTATGGCGGACCACAGTGAGAAATAGCTGAGATCCCATGTGACATTAGCTGAAAGCATGCATGTGTGTTACAACCTTGAGAGTGAGGCAAGACTATTTGTAATGGATTCACATGTGGTAGAATACAATGAGATTGTGAGTTGTATCAAAGCAGTACATTAACAGATGAGCAGATTATCAATTTCTCCTTCATTAAAACTCTACCTTGAGGCAGCCGTTGTGGTGCAGAGGTTAAGGCACCTCTTAGGACACCCTTATCCCACATTGGAGCACCTAGGATAGAGCACTGCCTCTTCTGATCCAGCTTCCTGCCAGTGTGCAGTCCGCTCTGCAGCAGGCAACAGCTCAAATACTCGAGTCTCTGCCACCCACATGGAAGACTCAGATGGAGTTCAAGACTCCTGGCTTCCACCTCGCTCAGCCCTGGCTCTTGCTGGCATTTGAAGACAAAACCAGTGGATGTAAGATCGCTGCCTCCCTCACTCTCTTTCTTTGTTCTGTGTGTATGTATCTGTGTTTACATGTGTCTAGTTCTGCCTTTCTGGTTAATAAATATATACATTGTTTAAAAAAACTCTACAACCAAGAAACTCACAATCAAGCTACCTGTGAGAATTCATTTTTCAAAATCTCTCTCTCCTGTTTTCTGTGTGCAGACTCTCAATAAACGTCATTACAGAGGCTGAGAAAAAATGTCCTTAACAGAAGGAAAGCAAGAACTTAAAGATTTTCAGTGAAATTTGGCCTTTATTGTAAATAAAAATTAGATTCTTTAAATAGTTTATGGATGAAATGCGATTTGAAAAACTCTGTTTCTTCCAATTTCCTAAAAATAGACAACTCTGTCACAGCATTTCTCCTGAGTCATTTAAGGACAAATTTTCCATGTTTTAGAATTAAAAACAGTCTTCTCCAAGAAGAGAGAAAGCACTAGATAGCTCTAGAATCGATGTGAGGATGGGGACTTTGAAGGACAAGGATTTTAGTAATGCCTCTCCGAATCCAGAATAAATAGAAGCAAAGAAAATCCATTTCCATATTTGAGCATCTGGCCACAGTGTTTGTGATCAAACTGTTTTTATAAGTAATTTGAGGATGTAGTTTCCTGGAACCATGGACAATTTTTCTCCCTTATTGGTGTGGGGGAGGATAACAGGTCAGTGAACTGTCAGTTAACCTAACTATTTGGTGGTTGAGGGGAGGGAGAAGAGGTAATCAAGAAAGTATAAAAGAATCACAATTATCAAGCAGATCTAAAAAATTCAGGTTAATAGCTAAATTGTAGTGGAGTTTTCCAGCAGGTTCATGAAACTAATTGGCTTTGTGATAGGAACCTAACAACTATATATAAGTAGATATAAAGATATGAATAAATAGTATTGAGGTACAGAATATTAAATGATTCATATAAAATGCGCTTCAAATACCCACAACTTTCTCATGAAACCTAACAGGTACAATTCTCCACTGTGCCACCTCCTCTGACGATCTCATTTAGAAAAAAGTAAAATGTTACCAGAAGGGTTCACACTTGGGCAAAGTCATCCTTTCTGTGCTCTTAGTTATTATTCAGTGTTACGAAGTAAGTCCTACTCCTTAAGAAACACTGAAGAGGGGCTAGGAATTGTGATGTACAAAAAAGAAAGGACAGAGAGAGGTGTCACAACTAATGGAGACAAAACATGGAAAAATGAAATAGTTGGACATTATACTAGACATATAAACACTCGATAACAAAAGAGCTAAAAGAATTAAAGCAAGAAATCAAGATCCTTCTTAGAACAGTTAATGAAAGTTGAGCCTGACTTTGCAGTGTAGCTAGTTATACTGCCACTTAGAACATCGGTATCCCATTTTGGAGTGCTGTTTTGAGTCAGCTATTTCACGGCTAATCCAGCTCCCTGTTAATGCACCTGGGAAGGCAATAGAAGATGATCAAAATACTGAGTTCTTTGACACCCATATGGGAGATCAGGATGGAGTTCCTAGTCTTAACTTTAGCCTGAACCAGATTTGACTGTTGCAGCCATTGGAGGAATGAAACAGAGGATGGAAGATTCTCTCTGTCTCTCTCTCTCTCTTTCAAATTAATAAATTTCTTTTAAAAAATGAAACACACTTTTTTTTTCTTTTCCTACATTCTCTGCAAATTCTTACACATATCAATAATACGGAGAAGCTTGAAATACTGTAAGTAAATTGTGCATCAGGAGAATAAATATAACATGAGATTTCAGAAAGTATTAGAAGAATAAATGAATGGTGTGTGTTAAAGATTTAATATGAATAATACCTAAATGTGATGTTTAGTGCTTAGCTGCTCTCTTAACACCAGCAAAAAGTCGAGGCTATAAATAACCTAAATTTACCTCCCCCCTTAGCTTTATTTACGGCCCTGCCCACCTGCTTCCTCAGGAGGCCACAGTGGACAATAATAATTGACCAAATGTATTTCAACATTTGCTTTGGGTACAACAAACAATGTGACTTGGATTTTTCTTAATTCACTTAGGGGTGTCAGCTACTAGCCTCATCTCAGCACTGCACTAAAATGGAACTAGAAGAGGCTACCTGGATTGTGAACAAGCTATTCCTCCATTCCATCCAAAATTAACTTGAATTCTCAGGACTGGACCCAATTTTGTTTGAAAAATGAAGCTTATACAATTCGAGAAGGTGTGCTGTTAGAACACTCAAACTTATAAACACAAGCTTACTCCAGAGCCCTGGGAGGAGTCCCTGTTAGTGAGGCGGGCATGCTAGCTCAAGCAGCAACAGCTTTGCAGTAAATCCCAGGAGTGCTCTGCTCTCTGCAACCGGATGCCCTGACGCTTTTCTGTCTTATTCTCCACCTTCCCATGATGCTGAATGTTGCAATCTTCAGACACTTGACATCCAATCAAGAAGCACATTCACTGCAGAACTGACTCCGTATCCTGTCATTAGCATCACTGATTTAGTTTTGTAATTGTTTATGCACATCTTTGAGGCTCTGCTAGTTGACAAACTCCTTGAGGGCAAAGTCCCCAAACATTTGCACTTAAAAATTGCCTTTGTATCCACAGTGCAGGGCTCTCAATAAGAGGTTAATTGCATGATTGGATAAATCATATTTTTCTCACAAATTGTCCATGCTTAAAATGACAAAGTTCTATTATGCTTATACAAACTTACAATGTTTTTACCTGACTGTTTCTGTTGATTACAGAACAAAGACTAAACGGGGATTAGCTTTCTCACGATTTTGTTCTTATTTCAAGAAGACAGTTGATTTTTTTAATAGTGTGGCAAGTTAGAAAAACCAGGAAACACAGTCAAACACATTGTTCATATCTCCAAGCAGACTAGAAGAAGCACTTTATTCCTAGTCATAAGTATAATTTTCAAGTAGAAAATGTGAATTGGAATTTTGTAAGCAAAACAATTAAAGGGCGGATAAGGAAATATAATCAGCAAAATCTTCAATTAACAAAATATACTGTGGAAATAACAATAGTTCTTAAATTTACCATTTAGGGAATGTACTATAATGAGGTTCAGAAAAAGACGAAATCATTTTGTATGATTTGATGGGTTGTGCCTTGTATTTACACAGAGGGAGAATAAAAGGAAATTAAAACAAGCCTGAAGTTTTGCTTCTGTAAGATTATATTTTGGTAGCAAAACCTATAGGGACAATTAAATTGGAAAATCAAAAGCAGGCTCACTATTTTTTATAAAGTCAAAGAAGAAAAAATATAAATACAGAGCTACATGAAGCAAGAAGATATAAGCGACTTGTTTAAAAAACAATTCTTTATTTTGTGCACCTTTGTATCACATATCCTCCTAAAAGGTTTTCTGTTCCTGAGACTTGCTTGTACTTCCTTCAGCTCTATATAGCTTATATTCATCACTTAAAATTTATTATTTTCATATATATTATGAAATATTAATATAAGAAATGTGTAATAATATATAATAATATTATATAATATATATTAATATATAATAAGAAATGTAAATACCATAGCAATCAAAAAAGATAGATAATACAGATGACTACAGTGTAAATGGTTTGAGGACTAACATATTTAACAGATTTGTATAGACACTGATGACAAAAAGAATACAGTTGCTACCACATGGCTTTTGTTTCTGACTTGGTTTCAATCAGAGTTTCATGTTAAAGGTCATATCTACCTTTTCTTTGAATTCATCAGCAAATATTTGCACATGACAAGTTATAGGACTGGCAATCTCACCAGGTACTCTTTTTGCCTCTCATTTGACAAAGAGGATAGCAAGTTCAAACAACCATCTAGAATACATAGGTGTGTGCTGCCTCACACAGAGCATGACCCTTTCTAAGTTAAGAAGTAACTTGTTGAGAACTATTGAGATTTCGGTATGATCTGAAGTCACCTCTGCTGACTAATTTGATTTGTGAAACAAGGAATCCAAAAATTGGGTTTTTCAACCTCAACTTCCCGAGCTATTTCTGTTTTACTAACAGCAAAATAAGATAGGAAGAAAAGGCATTGAGAACAAAAAAAGCTAAATTTTTCTTTCTCATAAATCATAGTTTTTAAATGGGCCTTTTACTCCTTGATGGTAAGTTCAGTATTTTTAAATTAGGGAAAAATTGTATGATAAAGAATAATTGTTGACATTATTCTATGTGCATTAAATAAGAGAATTTTCAATCAATAATGGAACAATCACTTTCTACAACATAATCATGTGTTTAGAGAAATAGCATAATCTTGGAAACTATCATGTATTTATATTAAATTTTACAAATGTTTTCTGTATTTTCTGAAAAAAATGTTTTAAGAATATTCTTACTCTACTACCACATTCAAGATCCACTGTCTTATTTCCTTTTTATTTCTCATTTAAAAATGAAATTAAATTGTATAAGCTGCTACGTTAACTATAGGTTTTAGCACCTCCGTTTATCACTGCAATAAAGTTATATTGAAAGCAACTGAAGATTTCATAGATCTGATGACTTTGATGACTTTCACTATAAACCAAGAAATGATATAATTAAATCTTTATTTGCAAGCTAAATCCACTTTAAAATTTTCATGAAGAAAAGATTAAATAAAAAGTACAAAATGCCAAATATCAAATTGAAACATAATTTGCTTCATTTGCTTAAACATTTCTTTCTAAAGAAAAAAATTAGAAGAGCAAAACAAAGAAAAATGAATGGAGGAGAAAGGAAAAGGGGGCAAAGAAAGAAGGAGAGAGGGGAGAAGGGGAGACTAAGACACCTGTGCTTCTCAGACCAGTTTTAGACCGAGCCGCTGGCTTTGCTTCTCTTCAGAAAGGAATTCTATATTTTCCTTTCAAATTTGAAAATCATTCTTAATATTTTTCAATTTAGAAATTTAAAAAGGTAGTAAAACTGATAATGAAAATAAGACACTAGTATTTTCTGGATTCTATACCTAAGGAAGCAAAGAGTAAGTCCTGCTTATAACCGTGCTCAGCAGGGTTGATTTTCCTTACTATTAGTTTGTATCATCAGTGATATCCTTAGAGCTCTGAATCTTGTTTTCACTTGTTTCTGCCTCCCAGGTGTGATGTTAATATACACAGTCAGCTTAGCAGGTGCAGCCCATAAGAGCTGAAGTTCTTCTTTACAGCCCTTGTGGTCTCTACTGGTCAAGCAAAAGAAAATGAACTGTTTGCGGAGCCCAAGAGACAAGTGATTTGAAAGGTGAGGGAACTGCAAATGGATGTCAGGTCTGACAATTACAGACTGCATATGGGCTTAATTTCTAAATGAGCAAGAAAGAGGCATCTAAAAGAGTTGAGAATTATACCACATGGTAGGAGGTCAATGCAATTATAATGAATGAAGAAATATGAACTCTGTGCAGAAAATAGTGGTGATCTAAAATGTACAGCTGACTCTGCCAAAGAAGTTAAGCACCTTAGTTCACTGTCATATCATTTGCTCCTTTCTAGACTCGTCTTTACTATACAATGGAAAGAAGATAAGAGCTGGAGGAGAATGAGCAAAAATAAAAAAAGAAGTGATAGATAGGAGGAAAAGAGAAAGAAGGAATTACAAGACAGTCGTTAACTCATAATCAAGATAAGCTGTAAGTTTTTACTATAGATTTTAAATATCTTCTGACAAAGTGATTCTGTATGAAGCAATGACATAATGAAATCAATTTGTATTTTCCATCAGTTTAAAACTGTGAACTCATGTCACAACCTTATTTTTTAAATATATATGGATATTTCAAAATCCATGGAAAATATAGTTAAAAGAGAAATTTATTTTGGTGCAAAAAATTTTAAATCATGCATAGTTTTTCTTAAAGCATATTATTATGGACTGAAGATCGCTAATATGCATGGATTTCAAAGTTTTTTGCAACTTATACTTTAGTTTCCTAAGAACATTTTGAAGTACCATCATATGCATACTTATGAAAGTTTATATAAAATTTGCCCAAGAAACATACCATAAATCCTTAAATATGTGAACTTTTTTTCATAAATTTAAAATTATTTGTTTGCTGGGGAAGGACTTGTATAGAAGAAATGCTAAATGGTGTATAAGGATCTGTAAATATTTTCAATCTCATAGTTCAAGTTTGGCTAAAGCCTTTAATTACGGTATAGGGTAAAGACCATCTCTGGTGCATTGTTCTGACGTTAGTTCCCAAGATGTGATGGATGCCTTAATTATTGAGTACAGCATTGTTCAAACTGCAGATTAGATAATTTTTACTAAAGTATTACTTAAATTAATAGTGGAACTGAAATGATTTATATGCCTAAAACATTCAAGTCCAACTATAAACTCAAATAAACTTTTAGTTAAATGTACAACAAAACAACGATTTGTTCACTCAGCATTCACTGAGTGACTACTGTGTGCCATAAACTGATGCTCCTAAATTCTTGGAACACTAAAACACAGCTAAAAGCAAAAAGATGACTGTCCTCATAAAACTCACATTCTAGCAAGAGAAGACAGACAATAAGCAATCACTATAATACATGAGGAAGCTATCTAATAAACTGGAGCTAAGAAGGCTATGAGATAATAATAGAGCAAGGTAAAAACTAATACAATGGGGGGATGGCGATGGAATATTCAGGTTGCAATTTTAAAATTGAGTAGTGATATGTACTCACAGCTCTACCTTGAAAGCAAACAATTCCCTGATAAATTCAAGGGTGGCTCAAGTGTTTGGTTGAGCCACTAGATCAGATTGCCGTCACCTGACATGAAAAAGACTGCTCACAACCGTCACTACACTCAGTGAGTTTTCCTATTTACCCTCCTTAACACTGTTCAACACCCCAAATCTTAATGACACCCCCTACTCCTGCAGTTTCATCACACCTGTTTCCTGAGTATTCTCCCTTTCTGTCTGACTGCTCCATCTATGTCTCTCACCAATTCCTCTTCCTCTACTGCCTCTTACCTTCCCACGCGCCACCAAAGCTTGCCCATTAGCATTGTTTTCTAATTCCCCACAGGAGAATCACACCTACATCTGCCTTCAAACATCTGTCAGCGGTATACCATCCTTCTTTGGTGCTTATACCAGATGTTTACTCTGCAAAGCCTTCTCTGACAAGGTCATCCTTTGTTTTGTACTGGCACCCCCCAAGAAATTTAATCCTAAATACACTAATTTAACATTTAAGAATCAATGCAATACTCTCATGCCCTCCTTTATCAATCCCTTGGCAATAAAAATGTAGAAAGTTTTAAGCATACGAAATTATTTAAAATATTGTAAAGCCTGAAATAAATAGCAAAAGTTTCTATAAACTAAGCCATGGATTACAGAACAGAGAGCACATATTTGAATAACGGAGCAGGTCAAATGGACTTGTATATCAGCCTGCAAAGTTGACCACACACGGGAAGAGAATCACCTTGTATGTGTGTAAGGTAGAAAGTACAAAAATCCAGAAATCTGGGAAAGCTGAATCTGAGTGAAATGTCATTGCAGTAGCCATCAGTTTGGGAGATGTACAAGGGAAGCTTACTTCTATCAGAATTAAGCAATAGGAGAAGGAGGTGGGTAGCATGTAGATGGAGTCTAATAGAAGACATGCAGCCTCTAAGCCTGTGCTATCCTGAGTATGAAATTTGAATTTATGCTATTATTGTTGTATGGAAATTGCAAGTTGAAAAATGAACATAAAAGCCCTTAACGGGCCAGCATAGTGGCATAGCAAAAAGTTGTTGCCTACAATGCCGGCATCCCATATGGATGCTCATTTGAGTCCCAACTGCTCCATTTCTGATCCAGCTCCCTATTAATGGCCTGAGAAAAGGTAGCAGAAGATAAACTAACTACCTGGGCTTCTGCAACCACATGGGGGACCCAGAAGAAGCTCCTGGCTTCTGGCTTTGGCCTGGCCCAACTGTGGATGTTGTGGCCATCTAGGGAGTGTCTTTCCCTCTCTCTATACAACTCTGACTTTCAAAGATAAATATTTAAAAAAATACATCCAAAACAGATTTGCATGCCTTCTACTAGTAGTAAATATACATGGAGACATCAAGAAAAATTCATATGCAAGATTGCAGAAATTTAGTAATCAGGCACACCTAGATAAATATATTGATTTTATAAAAATTAAAGTGTGTAGCACCTCTAAGACTATGCATTCATGCTTATATATGTGTATATATATATATCAACCCCGTTAATACATAATTTGATAAAATCCATTGTATTAAACAAGTGCTTTATATTACAAAGAATAGTATTAATCTCAAACTCTTATGTGTACATAATGATTATTTTGCTTTAAACACTTGCCATTATTTTTATATCATGTATGGTAAATGCCTGAAAAATAAAATGTACCTAGTATATCTCCAGTAATAACAAATGTCCAATACCTGAATCCACTGAGTGAATGTACTTACTTAAAATATGATTTTAGAGTGTCGGTTTCAGTTTGTATTTATCAGTAACTTTGGATTTGCCTAAGCAGAGCTCAAAATGCATTTCACCAGGTGGGCTCATGTAAGTAAACTTTGCTGTAAGGGCTTATCAGTAGGAAAAGCAAACTGTATTGCTTACAATATAATTTGATAGAACTGTGAAGGAAAGCTCCCAATGATTATCAGGCAATGGAGGAACAGTTTAGATTATGACAGGGAAGGAGTGTGAAAACCTAGGGATAGAGCAATATCTTGTTTACTGACCTGAATGGTAATTACACAGATACTTGCTCGGGAATTATTTGAGAAACTGTTCATATGAATATACTTGAAGCATGGTATGTATGTTTTGCATTTTTCAAGTAAGACAAAGGAACAGATGTGTTTACAGCATTTGCATTAATTCTGTAGGGCTGTTGTACCAAAGCCCCATAACTGGGTGGCTTAAAGCAGGGAAAATTGATTATCTCACAATCTGAAGGCTAAAAGTTTGATATCCAACTGTCAGTAGGGCTATGCTTCCTCTGAAGTCTCTGAGGAAGAATCTTTTCTTTATTATTTTTTAAAAGATGTACTTATTTATTTATTTATTTGAAAAGCAGAGATCCAGAGATAGAAGGGAAGAGAGAGAGGGAGAGAGAAAGAGATATCTTCTATCCACTGGTTCACTCACCAAAGGCTGCAATGGTTCAGGGCTGGGCCAGGCCAAAGCTAGGAGCCAGGAGCTGCCTCCACTGTGTCTCCCATGTGGGTGTAGGAGCCCAAGCACTTGCCCCATCCTCTGCTGCTTTATCAGGTACATTAGCAGGGAGCTGGATCTGGCACTTGAACTGGCACCCACATGGGATGCCAGCATAGCAAGTAGATGCTTAATCCACAGAGCTGGCTCCAAGAAGAATCTTTTCTATGCCTTTCTCAACTTCTCATTCTGCAACAACCTTTGACATTCTCTAGTTTGCTGGTAATGACTCTAAGCTCTGCTTCCATTTTCAAATGGTACTTTTCCTGTGGTCTCTATTAGGCTTGTCTCTTCTTCCTATAAAAACATCTGTCATATTGACTTTTGGGGCTCATAACGCTGTATGACCTCATCTTAACTTGATTATGTCTGCAAAACTGTGTTTCCAAATAAGCCCTGATCACATTCAAAATTATTAACATTTCTTTTGGGGGGATAAGATTCAACTCATAACAGCATCTATCTCAGAAGCCTTGCTAATAAGAAAGGAAAGTTAGAGTTTTTTCCTATTATTTTATTTATTTTAGTTGCATAAAGGCTATTTTCCCATATTTATGTACATGGGGCCTTCAAAAAATTCATAGAAAATGAATATTATGAAAACTTTTTTACACAAAAATAAACATATTTTAATTACATTTCCCATGAACTTTTTGAAGCACCTTTACATTTATGATTTTAGTAATCTGATCAATATGATTGGTAGAGTTATAGCATTTGTGGCAATGTGTATGCATAAGTGTCTGTGTTTGTGAGAGAGAAAAAGAGAAAATGAGCTGTAAGAAGTTACAGGCTATCATGAGCAGGCCTGAGTTAAATTTGGCCATGTCCACTTTCCCCATTACTTAAATGAGCAGTAAATGAGATTCACGTTGTAAAACTGAGACAACGCAGGTCAAGGTAATGGTCTGGCCTTTCTGTAGTTATTTTTTTTTAGAATTATTTTATTTATTTGAAAGAGATAGGTAGAGCCAGAGAGAGAGAGAGGTTTTCCATTTCGCTTGTTCATTCCCCAAATGACTGCAATGGCCAGAACTGAGCCTATCCAAAGCCAGGAGCCAGGATCCAGAATCCAGGATCCTCCTCCAGGTCTCCCATGGATGCAGGGGCCCAAGGACTCGGGCCATCTTCTACTGCTTTCCCAGGACACAACAGAGAGCTGGACTGGAAGAGGAGCAACCGGGAATAGAACCAGCACCCATATGGGATGCCAGTGCTGCAGGCTGGGGCTTCAATCCACTACGCCACAGTGCCGGCCCCTCTCTGTAGTTTTAACATCTACATTTTCACTTCATGGGTTTTTTAATTCATATTGGTCTTGCTTTTTGTTGCTTTCACTATCATTGGTTTCCAAACTTGCAATTAAAAGTTAAGTAAAAGTTTTTGTTTATTTTGTAGCAGTACTCTTAAATATTTATGAAGGATCCTAAGTCTGAGTCGCTTTGAGGAAATATAGATGAATTAATAATTGATATGGCTGCTTTGCAGAAAATTAAAGGTTGGGAGCGTGTGTTAAAAAATTAAATCATCCATGGCTAAGACAGCAGATGTTATTTATTTAAAATCTTGCAAAAAAAGTACAATTAGGTTCTTTCTTCAGTCCAAGTCAAATGAAAACCTAATGATTCTTCTCAGCTTCTCAGATTCTGAGTCCTGAGGCTAATCAAAGACTAGAAAAAAAAAGGAGAAAGAGAAATTTCAATTCCTTATCCCAGAATTCTTAATATTCCTAACTCACACAGAAGTGAAAGTGAGTAAGAAAGAAGAAGCTATACATTCTGTACGCCTAGAGTCAGCCTAGAGTCAGGACTCATTTATAAAATGTTTCAGTATTCATTTATAGTTATAAAAATCATATTATGTATTAGCCATTTGACTCAAAATATCTTTAAAAACTAATAGTGGGCCGGCGCTGTGGCATAGCAGGGAAAGCTGCTGCCTATAGTCCCAGCATCCCATATGGGCGTGGGTTCGAGTCCCAGCTGCTCCACTTCCCATCCAGCTCTCTGCTAATGGCCTGGGAAAGCAGTAGAAGATGGCCCAAGTACTTGGGCCCCTATACCCGTGTGGGAGACTGGGAAAAAGCTACTGGTTCATGGCTTCGGATTGGTGCAGCTCTGGCCTTTGTGGCAACAGGGGAGTAAACTAGCAGATGGAAGACCTCTCTCCCTCTGCCTCTCTTTCTCTGTATAACTCTGCCTTTCAAATAAATAAACAAATCTTTAAAAAAAAAACTAATTATATCTCTTACACATTGTTTATATATTTGTTTATATAAATATATTTATTTATTTACTTTGAAGATCCATTTTATTTATTTGAAAGGCAGAGCTACAGAGAGGCAGAGGCAGAGAGAGAGAGAGAGGGAAAGATGTCTTCCATCCACTTGTTCACTCCCCAGATGGATGCAATGGCTGGAGCTGCACCAATCCAAAGCCAGGAGCCAGGAGCTTCCACCAGGCCTCCCATGCAGGTGCCATCTTCCACTTCCTTCCCAGGCCATAGCAGAGAGCTGAACTGGGACTCAAGCTGGTGCCCTTATGGGATCTTGGCACTGCAGGTGGTGGCTTCATCCACTATGACATAGTGCTGGCCCTATTTGTTTATATATTTAAAGTAAGTAAAATAATGAAAGAGAAAGATGAAGAAAATGTAGGGTTAAAAATTCTTGCTACCACTAAGCTTATGGAATTCTAGCAGCTGGTGGGGAAGCAGTTCACACTTTTAACCAAGATTTATGGAACTTGCAATCTTGGCTGGAAGTATTAGTTAGAGGGCAATCTTGCTATAAAAGTTCAGCAATTTTATTTCTGCCTAGGGAATGAGAGCAAGTCTATCTGAATGCTCAGACTATTCAAGAAGCAGATGAGTGGAAAGCGCAACTCTACAATTCCTGACCGAAAACTGCATTTTCTTATCTCAAACTGAAAAAAAAAAAGATGTAGAGCAAGTTCAAGGAACAACAAAGTATATTACTGTTTCACCTTTAAGCTACTACTCAAAGCTGTCTAATTTTTTTGGAACATGCCATTTTTAAAAGGCAATAAAGCACTCCGCAACTTATTGGATAATGGTCTATAGTTCTGGTTTACCCATCTTTACTACTGGAAGATCCCTCTAAATCACCTCCCCTTTTAAGAATGGTTGGTGTCATTAACTTATAATTCACAGGCCAGTATATTACATATTAATTGAAAATATGAATCAGGGAAAACTTTCCAATATTCTATAAAAGGTAAAATTTTAATAATTCTCATATGAACATATTTTGAAGGCCATGAGTATCACAAGTGTTTCTAAGGAACCTGAAAGATGAAACATTTCCCCCAGTTTACCAGATCAAAGTATTTTTCTTAAGACTTCATTTAATTCATACTCTTGTACTTTTGTTGATATACCAAATTCTGTCTGTTTTCTGTTGATACTAACTTATACTTCTTGTTGGTTTTATCACTCAAAAAATAAAGTTGTGCTTTCATCACAGTATTGGCTGGAAGTCTTTGATACATTATTCATTCATGGCTCAGGGAGACATCATAGGGTTGAAGTAGTGTTCACTCAATAGCCACAAATGGAGTGTCAACAAAGCACCTTGGCTTTACTTGGCCATTAATTAGTGTCCTTCAGTCACTTGATGAAGGTCACTGAGCTTCCATGGCCCCATAGAGAATTCATGTACCTGTATACCTCAATGCTTCTTAAATTACTAAATAATTTTCCTTATTTAATTCAAGTAAAATAAAATTCTATTTTTACCAAATACCTAGCACTTGTGACTTCAAGATAAATATACAGTCTGGGATCCTATTTTATGCTTCCTGCATGTGCTAGCACATATTTTTGCCCACATTTCACTGTTAAACAAAAATATCTTGGTCCTGAATAGCTGGTTTACACTAGATACTTAAAATTATAACAGTACCTTCTAAGCATTATTACATAGTGTGTCTTCTTGGTATAATCTCTATAACGATATTATACAAAATCAATAACCTTTGCTACAGATTTAACCAATGCATTAAAGGAAACACAAGAAAAATGCTTTCCAACATTAGAAAAGAGTGGGCTGCAATTATTTATCTGGTTTTCACTGTGATTGAAATACATAGTCTTCACAGTGAAAAGGAGATGCTCTCAGAGAAGGTATAACCTAAAACATAGATTTGGGGCCAGTGCTGTGACCTAGTGGGTCAAGCTGCTGCCTGCAGTGCCAGCATCCCATACAGGTGCTGATTCAAGTCATGGCTGCTCCAATTCTTTTTTGCACTGTATAACTATGATGCTGCTGCCACAGGAAGGAGTTTCACATTTTAATTTTTTTAAAAAAATATTTAATTATTTGAGAGGCAGAGTGAAAGAGAGAGAGAGAGGGAGAGAGGGAGAGAAAGAGTGAGAAAGATCTTCCATCCACTGATTCATTCCACTTGGCCACAATGGCTGGAACTGGCCCTATCTGAAGCCAAAAGCCAGGAGCTTCATCCATGGCCTCACATGTGGCTGCAGGGGCCCAAGTACTTGGGCCATGTTTTGATGCTTTCCCAGGCACATTAGCAGGGAACTGGATTGGAAGTGGAGCGGCCAGGACTTGAACTGGTGCCCACATGTGATGCTGGTGCTGCAGATGGCGGCTTTACCCACTTTGCCACAGTGCTGGCCCTAGATTATTTTAATTTATAAGCTGATTTACTCCTATTAAAATCAAATCTATGTTTTTTTTAAAGATTTTTTTATTTATTTAAAAGGCAGAGGCAGAGAGAGAGAGGTCTTCCGTAGGCTGGTTCACTCCCCAGATGACTGCAACGACTGGAGTGCCCTGATCAGAAGCCAGGAGCTAAGAACTTCTTCTGGGTCTCCCACATGGGTGCAGGGGCCCAAAGACTTGGGCCATCTTCTCCTGCATTCCCAGGCCATAGTAGAGAGCTGGATCAGAAGTGGAGCAGCCTGGACTTACCCCTAATGGTAGATCTAGAAATGTGCCAGGGAATTCCAATTCAGTCTCATTAAGGTGGCATGTACCAATGCCATCTTACTTGATAAAGTGATCAGTTTAAGTTCATAATTGATCAAAAAGATAGCATTAAGTGTCAAAGGGATTACGTAAATAAGACCAGTATCTGAAAATAATTGATAGAATTAAAAAGGAGAGAATTATCCTACATGGGAAGCAGGATACACAGCAGACTCATAGAATGGCAAAAGCCCTAAACAGCACTCTGGCCTCAGAATCAGCACTTAAGTCATTTGGATCTGGCTAAAAAGCCCATGAGAGTATTTCAGGCATGGAAAGCCAAGACATTGTGGCAAAAAAATTGACCTAAATGAAAGATATCTGTGAGTGAGATCCCAGTGGAAAGAACAGGCCATCAAAAAGGCAGTACCTTTCTCTGAAGGGAGGAGAGAACTTCCACTTTGAATATGACCTTGTCTAAATAAGATCGGAGTTGGTGAACTCAAGAGGATTCCACAGCCTTGGCAGCTCATGACAAGAGCCTCAGGTGATTACTGACATCATAAATAAGAGTGTCAATTGTTAAATCAACAACGGGAATCACTGTGCACCTGCTGTCCATGTAGGACCTTTGCCCTTAATGTGTTGTACTATGAGAATTAATGGTAAAACTATTACTCAAACATTACTCTATACTTTGTGTGTCTTTGTGGATGCAGTCTGTTGAAATCTTTACTTAGTATATACTAAGTTGATCTTCTGTATATAAAGATAATAGAAAATGAATCTTGATGAAGAATGGGATAGGAGAGGGAGTGGCAGATGGGATGGTTGCGGGTGGGAGGGAGGTTTTCGGGGGAAAAGCTGCTATAATTCAAAAGTTGTACTTTGGAAATTCATATTTATTAAATAAAAGTTGAAAAAAAAAAAAGAAGTGGAGCAGCCATGACTTGAATCAGCACCTGTATGGGATGCTGGCACTGCAGGCAGCAGCTTGACCCACTAGGTCACAGCACTGGCCCCACATCTATGTTTTAGGTTATACCTTCTCTGAGAGCATCTCCTTTTCACTGTGAAGACTATGTATTTCAATCACAGTGAAAACCAGATAAATAAATCCAGCCCACTCTTTTCTCTCTCTCTCTTTCACTCTGCCTCTCAAATAAATAAATATTTTTTTAAAAAAATAAAATAATCTGCCTCATTTTAATGTTGTAGTGGATTCTTGACAAGTCATCACTATTCCCCCTCAAAACATTGGGACTTCTTCCCCAGCTGCTAAAGGAACTGTCCTTTGTTATCCAGCTTTTTCCAGAAACTGCACTTTGAAAGATGCTTGTGCTAATGTGAAACTCCTTCCTGTGGCAGCAGAATCAGAGTTATACAGTGTAAAAAGTATGGTATATGGGGGCCGGCATAGCAGGTAAAGCTGCCACCTGCAGTGCTGGCATCCCATATGGGCGCCGGTTCCAGTCCTGGCTGCTCCTCTTCTGATCCAGCTCTCTGCTATGGCCTAGGAAAGCAGTACAAGATGGCCCAAGCCCTTGGGCCCCTGCATCCATGCGGGAAGACCCAGAGGAAGTTCTTGGCTCCTGGCTTCGAATCGGAGCAGCTCCAACTATTGCTGCCTAATGGGGAGTGAACCAAAGGATGGAAGACCTCTCTCTCTCTCTCTGCCTCTCCCTCTCTCTCTGTGTAACTCTGAATTTCAAATAAATAAATCCATCTTGAAAGAAAGAAAGAAAGAAAGAAAGAAAGAAAGAAAGAAAGAAAGAAAGAAGGAAGGAAGGAAGGAAGGAAGGAAGGAAGGAAGGAAGGAAGGAAGGAAGGAAAGAAAGAAAGAAAGAAAGAAAGAAAGAAAGAAAGCAAGCATCATAGCTACAACTTCCCTCTCTCCTACCTTGGTTTGGGCTGCTACAACACAGTACCACAGACTGGATGGCTGATAAACAACAGATTTTTATTTCTCAAAGTTCTAAAGGACAGAAGTCTGAAATCATGCTACCATGATCGTTGTGGTCTGGTTCTGGTAAGAACACTCTTCCAAATTACAGTCTTCTGGTTTCTGAGATCTTCACACAGTATGAAGAGAACTTGCCTCTTATTAGAGAAATAATCCCATTCATGAGGGCTCCATTCTTGTAACCTAAAGACCTACCTCCAAAGACACTTGGATTGGGGTTTCAGCACATGAATTTGAAGGGGCATACAATCATTCAGCCCCCAGCACTATCCAACCTTGCTGACTCCCCTTCTCTTCCCATGGCCCAACTCATCAATTTCCCTCAACTTTTTATCTCCCTCTTTCTCTCACTTATTTTCCATTCCTTTCTTTAGACGTTGATTCTACAATAGATCCTGCATGAAATCTCAATCTCAGAGTTAGCTTCCCAGGGAATATAAAACCAAAGCTCACGACAGATGAAAATTTAACCCAAATGAGATTGTGAGATTTCTTTTATGGATAGACTTCTTAAATAATAAAATAAGTGTTAACTCTCTATTTTTATTTAGGTATGATCAACCCACAATTGTCCCAATTAAATCATGTAGATGATTTAATTATGAAGTATGTTTAACAGTTGAGGAATCAATGAGTGCTCTTGTAAGAATGAGTCAATACACAAAGAATAAGTATAGGTCCCATTAAAAACAAAAATAACTTCACCATTGAACTGTCTCTATATATTTCCAAAACTGTTTCACTTTTGCATTAACAGTTGTCTTCCCTGGTTACTTTTTCTCACCTTGAAATGACACAAATATTGGGGTGGCACTGTGGCGGAGCCTGTAAAGCCGCCACCTGCAGTTCTGGCATCCCAATCCAGCTCTCCACTATGGCTAGGAAAGCAGTAGAAGATGGCCCAAGTCCTTGGGCCCCTGCACACATGTGGGAGACCCAGAAGCAGCTCGTGGCTCCTGGCTTTGGATCAGCCCAGCTCTGCCTGCTGCAGAAACCAGTGGATCAAAGACCTCTCTTTCTCTCTCTTTGTCTCTCTCTCTTTCTCTCTCTCTCTCTCTCTCTTTGCATCTCTGTAATTCTGCCTTTCAAATAAATCTTTAAAAAAAAGAAATGACACAAATATTAATCTTCACCAAAATCAACTATGTAGTGTATCTTCTTTGCAAAATATCTATATTATGTTCTCTTTTGAGAAGGAAACTACAGTTACTTTAATGGAGTTCTAGAAGCTCACTATATTCACCAGTGTCAAACAACCACACACAAGGGTATTTTAAAAGTTCATGAAAAAATGGAATTAAAAAATAAAGCAAATTTTCTAAGAACTTTTTGAAGTGCCCTCATATAATATTGGAACGCATCAGCAACCCTATAATTCAGGTGCTCACATCTATAAGATGTTCTGGGCACTACAGTTGATGTAGTGAAAAGTATTAGGTACTAGGTGTTGCGCATTGTCAGTATAGTCTCTTATCTCTGCTTGAAACAGCTAAGTGTCACTCAAGTCACTCAAACATCTTTTAGTTTTGCCTTTTTTTTTTTACTTTTTGTTTGTTTCGAACAATTTTCAAATTTGTCTAACTTTCACATTATTGTGAATTTACACAGAGCTGGTTTAAATTTGAAAAAAAAAAAGTCCTGCTATCATTTCAGAATGGCTACTCATTTCTAAAAGAAAGGCATGAATCTAAGATGAAAAACTGTTCTCTTTCACATTGTAGTCCTTGTCTCATTACTCGGTTAACATTCTGATTCATCATCTAATGTAATATAACAAGTAAATTTTGAGGGAAGGATC